TGTCTCAGTTCGGACACTTGGCGATATTGGTCATTTACCTCGTGAAAAGGTTTCTTTCTAGTTTATGGAATTTTCTGAGTTTAACAAGCCGCCGAATTTTCTAAGTTTCATAACTAATCGTCTCTTCGAAGCTTTTTTCTTCATTTGTATTTTGTTATAACTGCCAGTGTTTCTTTTTGTGCTGTCATGTGTACGAATTTTGACGCTTCCATGTCAATTTTTTATTAAATACTTATCCATCCTTCCCTGAATATGAAATTTTCCAGCGTTTTCGGACTCAGTATAGTGTAATTCCTTAACGACATTGAAATTTAGCCATCCGGTGGTAAAGAAACAATTTACCATTTCCCTCCCTTCTCCATTAAACGCTCCAACCGTCATACTGACGAGGTCCTGTCGCAGTGTTGAGTTAAGACGTATAAGACTGAATGGAGCGAAACGTCTTATTCCTGCCTCCTTCCCTCAGTCTGTTCCTGCTTTGTGAATTCAATGAGCCTTCGACATTTCGGCATCCAAGGTCAACCTGGATGCTACAACCGGCTTATGTATGCTTATAACCCTGTATCTGAGCTTTTGTTGGGATGTATTAAGAAAGTCTGAACCCAAATTTTTCCCACTTTTGACCAAATGTTTCTTCTGTTTAATAGTTGATTTTCCTTTCTCGTTCCTTTTGATCCAGATTTTTGCGCATTCCACTAATGGGATAGGTCTGTTATTTGGCTTTTTGTGGTTCTTTAGTATGAAGGAAGAGATTTACTTCCCCTTTATCCTTCTCCCGATTGGGTGTATAGAAGTAGAAACTTACTTCTCCAGCTTCCCCTCCCCCTCCCTCCCCCCTTCCACCAATGCGTGATACACCGCAGTAACATAACTAGCCTAGCTTAGCTAATCGGTGAAAATATTGCTTGAATTGTCGCTCGGTTTGTTTGCTTTGTTCAATTGTTTTACGTCGATGAAGTGTTAATAATTTTTGGTTTTTTTTAAGCGCTCTGGGAGGTACAAAATTTGAGCATTCTGCTTCGCAACGAGCAATTTTGAATTGCCTCCAGTTGTTATTTGTTATTCTTATTGTTGGCACTGTGGCTCCATGGTATCAAAAATTTATCCCGATTTTAATATACACCGTGAAGAAGCACAACAGTGAAGCAAAAGCTATTTGAACTGTCGAAGTAAGTTGTCTGGGAAATAGCCGTCTTGCCTTTTTCCACTATTTTTTAGGATTCCTCGAATTTCAATTCAGATTGTTTTTGTGCTTGAACAGACTTATGCGCTGAAAATGTTAACTTTCTGAAGCATTTCTGTGAAGTTTTCTTTTACATTTGTATCTTTTTCTGACGATCATGTCTCGTTGTTATGCTTCAGAATATTTAAACTATATTACATACTGGCTGCGCGTGCTATGGTGGCAAGCAGCATTGCACTCATGCTAGAGGGGAAGGGGTTCAACTGTCTTAAAATTAGCCATTTTCTTGCTAAAGGCACATTTTTCTTGAAAAGGACGTGGACCAGGAGGGAATCGAACCTCTCATTTTCACTATTTCCCGATCCTTCGAGTCGTATCTTGTTTTGCATCGCACTAACGAACAGTACTTGTGCTCGACACAGTAACTGGAGCATTTATATCTGTACGTGGGCTGCTCAAATACGTATTATTTTACCGTCTAATGCTGCTACCATATGTGCAGTTTTTGCCGATTTTATGCGGGTATCCGCCGTATCTTTTGTGTTTTGCTCATTTCTTTCAATGGTAAATTGGTATTGCTACGTGCCTGAGAGGAACCGCTATCAGTTTTCTTTTAAGAAACTTCGGGAAAAGGGGGTGTTGATCGATCTAAGGCACAGTTCTGATTTGTATTTCTTAAAAAAAAAGAAAAAATTTGAACACCCTCAAACTTTTGTCTCCAAAGAAGTTCATAATGTGAGTAAAAATTCATTCATTAACATGATCTGAGTGAAAACCCCATTGAGTTTTTTAGGGTATTGAAGTTTTTGTTGT